CATTATAAATATGGTGGTCCCCAGGAGCAGCTGTAGGGCTGCAAGAGGGTCTATGTACCCAGTGGTTGCTGCATTAACCTTCTGCTTGTGCCAGTGTCGCCTTCTGCATCAGCTGCCCGAGGCTCAAATCGTACCAATTAGGCCTCTGGAAAATCATGCAGGAAGAATATGACAGAGGGAGGAATTCTGAGTTCTTCAATTACAACATTGTAGTCATTGGGTTTTTGGTTGTAGCTGTGTTGGTCTAAGGACATAGGCAGGCAAGGTTCTTTGGGCAGATGTGTTATCTTTTATTAGACCAACTGAGTAGTTGGAAAAAAGTTCTTAGCAAGCTTTCAGGTGCAGTCACCCTTCATCAGGCATAAGGGAGTCTTTGCTTGACTTTTTGTAGTCGACTCTCCTAACACTACAGCATGTAGAGTAATCTTTATGTTGAGGATTTAGTTAGGTGTGGTGATCTAAGAGCCTCCACTTTTAGTACAATGTTGAGTTGGTTTTGTTATCTTAAGAAATTATTACTACTACTACCACATAAAATTTATTTGTACTTAATAAATATTTCTTATTTTTAGCTTAAGTGTAAAGAGATATGGAGTCTAAATGGTCTGGTAAAACACCTATTCAGTAAGCAGCTTCTGAAGGACAAGTCTGTTCGTTGTGGTAACTGGGAAGACGTTCCACTAAGCGATGACCAGAAATTGTATGCAGCCACTGACGCCTATGTACGTACAAAGAGAAGTCTATTCCATGTATAACTTACTCCTTTTAATACGTTATTTGTGACCCTTTGAAGTGTCCTGCTGCTGTGGTGCTTACCAAAAAGCCCACTGACATTTTTTTGCAACAAAATTGTAAGTACTGCATCTTTAGCATGGTAAACTCTCTACAAGAGATTATTTAGTTTGTTGCACAAATTTTGATTTGTTTTTAATTTCATTTTAATCCATGAGTCATTTGAAGGTCATTTCAAGATACTGTTTTCCCTGCAGATGGACCTGATTTGTAAATATATACATTTTCTTAGATTAGGAGTATAAACCTGTAGTATGTAAGAGCAATAGAAAAAGGTATAACTAATATAATATGAAGAACAGTGATACCTTAAGGCAAGGATATTTGTGAGTGATATCTTCTGTTGGACCAACCATACATTTCCTGGACTGTCGCAGCTACAATGAGTCCAACACAGATACCTTAACACTTTTATCTTAGATAGCAGTGAAATGTTTATTTATCAATACTTAAAGAATAGAAGAAAAGCAATATAAAATACTGAAATAATATGCTGAAATAAATCTGTAGTATTTGGCAAATCAAGGTCACAGTCTAACAGTGGGTACGTGTTTCCCTCAGGGACTCAGAATGCATTCATTTGAGTATAATATTCACTAGCTTTAGTGTTCTCTAAGCATTATTACCAGAGATTTGACTTTTCCATTTCCTGCCGGAAAATGCGGAAGAACATGGATTTTCTCCTTTAAAGGAGAAAATCCGTGTCCTTCCACGTTTTCTAGTATCTGGAGAGTATATTTAATATCGGACACTATAAGTGTAGACCTGAAGATGAAGAAAAAAGCCGTTTTAGTTGTAGTTCCAAGACACTAAATCTGAAACTCACCTATTTCTTTGTATCATATTCAGAGTTCCCTTGTCAATGGGCAAGAACCAGATCTTCTGAAAACTTGAGTATATGTTCTGAATTAATAAACTAGAAGTAAATTGAATTATATAAAGTAAATTGATTACTAGAAGTTAATTGAAAGAATAGGATAGAGAAATGTGTCTGTCCCTTTTGGATAGTTCTCAATGCAACAGCGTAACAATGTGTGTGGGACTAGAGCAGGAGCAATGGGCTCCCTCCAGCACTCTTAAGCAGGGGGATTGTGGGGGGAGGCAGAGTAGAATGGTTTCTGTACTGTGCACCACTATCATCCAAGGCACAGGCCTAAGTGGTCAGTTCTGTGTCTTAATGTTTTCTCAGGATTTGTTTAAAGTTAATTCTGATTTAACATGGTGTGAATATGAAGTATAATAGCTGTACCCAATTGATTCCTTATGTGTATGCTCTTATTTTCAAATATGTGTCTACAGAGCAAGTCAGTTGTTATTCCATAGTAGGAATTCCTTGTCCAGTGTAAAAAAGTTCTAAATTCATGTAGAGTGACTAACGAACACAGATATAAGTTTTAGGATACATATGTCAATGCCAAACGGTAAAATAAGGATTGCCATGGAATCTTTAGTTCTGAGGGTGCATGAACAAATCATCTCAATGTTCAGGAAGAATAGCAAATGTGGCAAGAGACCAACCTGGCTTAGCAGAGAACTCTTTGTGAGCTTAAACACAAAAAGGAAGCTTACAAGAAGTGGTAGCTTGAACAAACAACTTGGGAGAAGTATAAGAATATTCTTTGTGCATACAGGGATGAAGTCAGGAAGGCCAAAGTGCAATTGGAGTTGGGAGCTGCAAGTAGCAAGGGATGTGAAGGATAATGAGAGAGGTTTCTACAAGTATGTTAGCAATAAGAGGAAGGTCAGGGAAAGTGGTATGGGTCCCTTACTGAACGGGGGAGGTAACCTAGTGACAGATGATGAGGAAAAGGCTGAAGTACTCAATACCTTTTTTACCTCAGTCTTCACAGACAAGGTCAGCTCCCAGACTACTGCACCAAGCAGCACAGTTAGGGGAGGAGATGAGCAGCCCTCAGTGTTGAAAGAACAGGTTAGGGACTATTTAGAAAAGCTGGTCATGTGCAAGTCCATGGGACTGGATGGGATGACCCAAGGGTGCTGAGCGAGTTGACTGATGTGATTTGTTGAGCCACTGGCCATTGTCTTTGAAAACCTATGGCGATCGGGGGAGGTCCTAGACAATTGGAAAAGGGCCCATCTTTAAGAAAGGGAAGAAGGAGGATTCAGGGAACTACAGACCAGTCAGCCTCATCTCAATCCACAGAAAAATCATGAAGCAGGCCCTCAAAGAATCATTTTCTAAGCATTTGGAGAAGAAAGTGATTATGAGCAGTCAGCATGAGTTCACCAAGGGCAAGTCTTGCCTGACCAACCTGATTGTCTTTTATGATGAGATGACCGGCTCTGTGGATGTGAGGAAAACAGCAGACATACTATACCTTGACTTTAGCAAGGCTTTTGATACCGTCTCCCACAACATTCTTGTGAGCAAGCTGAGAAAGTATGGGTTGGATGAATGGACTTTAATGTGGATAGAAAGCTGAGTGGATTGTCGGGCTCAGTGGGTAATAATCAATGGCTCAATGTCTGTCTGGCAGCTGATATCAAGTGGAGTGCCCCAGAGGTCAGTTCTGGGTTGGTTTTGTTCAATATCTTCAACGGTGACCTGGAAGATGGCATAGAGTGCACCCTCAGCAAGTTTGCAGATGACACCAAGCGTGCTGGGGGGGGGGGGGGGGGGGGTAGTAGTAGTAGATGCAGTGTGGGGTAGGCTTAGGATTCAGAGTGACCTGGACAAAGTGGAGGATGGGGCCAAAAGTCTCATGAGGTTCAACAAGGACAGATGCAAAGTCCTGCACTTAGGACAGAAGAATCCATGCACCAGTACAGACTGGGGACTGACCGGCTAAGCAGCAGTTCTGCAGACAAGGACCTGGGGGTAACAGTGGACAGTAAAATGGATGAGCCAGCAGCGTTCCCTTGTTGCCAAGGAGGCTAACAGCATACTGGGCTGCTATAGTAGGAGCATTGCCAGCAGATTAAGGAAAGTAATTATTCTGCTCTATTTTGCACTGAGACCATTTGAAGTACTGTGTCCAGTTTTGCACCCTCCTCTGTAGAAAGGATGTGGACAAGTTGGAGAGAATCCAGCGAAGAGCAGCAAAAATGGTTTGGGGCTTGAGCACAGGACTTCTGAGGAGAGGCTTAGGGAATGGGGTTTATTTAATTTGGAGAATAGAAGGCTGAGAGGGGATTTGATGGTAGCCTTTAAGTACCTGAAGATTGGTTTGAAAGAGGATGGAACTAGATTGTTCTCAGTGGTAAGAGATGACAGAACAAAAAGTGATGGTCTCAAGTTGCAGCAAGGGAGGTTTAGGTTGGATATTAGGAAAAACTTCCTTGCTAGGAGGGTGGTGAAGCACTAAAACAAGTTACCTAGGAGGTAATGGAATCTCCATCCTTGGAGGTTTTAAGGCCCAGCTTGACAAAGCCCTGGCTGGGATGATCTAGTTGGAGATGGTCCTGCTTTGAGCAGAAGGTTGGGCTAAATGATCTTTTGATGATCTTCACTATAGCCCTGATGCACATTGTATCTATTGTACAATTAAGTGGTTAATTGCACAAAAAATGTAGACATGCTATATATGCAAAGTAACTATCGCACAGTAAAAATGGCTGGGTCATAATAATGGCCTGCAAGCTGCTAAGTTGTTCCTTGAAAAATGTAGAACATTTTTTAAGCTGGTTTCTGTCAGACTTTAATTTGAATGTGTGGCCTGTCACACACATGGTGATAATGTTTGGCCAGGTCCTCCAAAATCCTAAGGTAAATTCTCCCTTTCTCCCTGCCACCTTTCTGTTTCCCATGCACTACTACAGCTTCTCTTTTCTTAGAGTTTCAAGGTTATGTTCCTTTTCATTTTGCATTTCAAATTACTTTTCAAAATGCAGTTCTCTCCACTCCCAGTAAATGTATTACCCCTGCAGCTGAGCAAGAAACCAAAGCTTTGGAGAAACATTTTCTTCTCAGATAGAAAGGCTATTAAGTGAAAAATATAGGTTACCAGGAAGAGAAGTAATTGTTATAGTTAGGCTTATGTTCAGGGTGTCTATACTAACTAAATAAAGAAAAAGATCACTCCAGATTTTGTGTCCTACAAGACTCTAAGGAAGATAATTATAATGTTTTATGTATGCCAAGGTATGTTTACTGACAGATAATTGTATTTTCTGTTTTCTCTGTTGTCAAATCAGGAGGGTTAAGAAAAGCAAAGGAGCACCTTTCATGCAATATTATGTTCTGCAGATCAGGGAAAAACTCTTATTTATTTTCATGTCGTGTTAAATGTAGTTGGGTATGTTTAACACCATAGTTAGTCATCTCTCGTGGCAGCATGCCATATCTCCATCCTTTATCATTGTAAAGGGACTGTATTTGGCTCTTTACAAACATCCTTATCCTGGGAAACTTACAGGCAGGTAAGTAGAATACCCAGGATATTATTTAATTTACAAATAGATCCTGATTTTTCTTATCAGCTGGCATGTCCAGTCTGATCGGATCAGTCTGCATCAGGGGTAGGCAGTTATTTTGGTTGGTGGGCCACTTAACAAGATTTAGTGAGCTGCCAAGGGCCACACGCACAGTTTCAGAAGATATCATTTTAACAAATTAAAGATAAAAAAAAAAAATCATATACTAAAAACCAAACATTTACTGCATCATTTTCATTTTATTTAAAAAAAGTAGTTTTTGACCTGACTTGTGTTTTGTTTTTTGAGTAGTGTATATAGAGGTGATTGCATAATAGCCTGAAATAAACTCTTGCTCTTGTATATTGTGTATGGGGTGTGTGAGGGTGGGAAAGTTGCGTGTGTGAGGGAAAGGGGCAGAGGGGGTGTGTGTGGAGGGTTAGGGGGGGCTGCGTGTGTGCTAGGTCCTGGGAGTCAGCCAGGGGTAGTGGGAGGGAACGGGAGAGGTCAGAGCAGGGGGCATATGCAGCAGAGCTTGCCTGGATAATGTGGCACAGTGCAGTGCAAGTCTGCCCTCCCCTACCTGACCTGCAGCATTCCACATGGGACAGAGCCCCTCCTGCTTCTGCCTGAGGCAGTCTGCACTGCACTCCTGCCTGCACCCACCCAATGCACCGATGGCAGCACCCTGACCCTAGCCAACCTGCACTGCTTCCCAGTGGGGCTGTTCCTGCTGCTGCTGCAGCCACCCAAGTGCTGCTTGGTTCCCCCCACCTCCAGTAGCTCCTCCTCCTCCTGCTCCTGCCCTTGTCCCTGTATAGGGAAATGGCAGCAGCCATGAGAGTGTGTGCCAGATACCACATGCCCAACCAAGCAGGGGGGAAGCTGCAGCTGGGCTGCTTCTGCCCCAGCGTGCAGGGCTCTGGCTCCAGCTACCAGCTGCCTTCCACCCACTTGGCTCCCCAGCATGATGAGTAGCCACCTGCAGGTGGCAGAGTGAGAGGAAGGCAGCCCCTCCTCGAAGCAGTGTGCCAGGTTCGGGGGTGTGGGAGGGCTGTCTTGGGTGGGAGCGGGCAGGGCTCAGCCCCATGTGGAGCTCCACAGGGGCGGCCATGGGTTGAATAGAATCAATTGGCGGGCTGAATTTTGCCCATCCCTGAGAGAGAGAAAAGCTCACTTTTGGTGTGACATGTGAGAAGGTTGTTGCTCACTAATCAGGTTGTGTAAAAGGATTAGCAGATCATTTTATGCTTTAAAAAATTAGATAGTATTGAACTGTATTGGGGGGCAATTAATAGCAGACCATTGGGATCAGATAAAGAGCTTCATGTGTCTGAACAATCTTTATTTTAATTCCAGAAAATTGAATTTGTATATCATGTTAGGCAGTTAGTACATGCCAAAATTAGGTGACAAATTAAAGTTAAAAAAACAGTAGCAACATTGTTGTCCATGCCAGGTATTTCTCAGTTTAATTTGTTTGGGGAGAAAAACCCTTCCTCTGGTTTTGCCTGTTTGTGTCCAAACCCACTTAAACAATCTGAAATGCCAGCTGTTTGGGGGAAGCAGGGAGTTGGACTCCCAAAAGTCATTGCTAGGGAACATCTTTGCATGAGACAGATGAAACCTATTCCTTTTTCTAAAGGACTCTGTGCTTTAGTAATCAAGTGTAGAACCTGTTCTTATCTGCTTGCCATTGGACTTGTGAACTGCCCTCTCTAGATGTCAGTAGCCTCTCCTGTGCATAGTAAATTATATTTGTTTATAATTAAAAAACATATTTCAACACCAGCTTCTCTGTCCTCAGTCACCTAGATCTCCATGTTAAATTGTGGGTGGATCATGTGTGTGGATTATCACCGCCATCCAAATGCGCATTTAGTGGTACAAGTAGCAATATATGTAAGCAGAAGTGGACAAAGTCAGTTCTGAATTCCTGTCTTGTGCATTTTACGTCTCTAACCTAAGGTTACTGTTTAATATGGTGAAGGAAACGAATGCATTTACAAGCAAGTTATAGGTCTTTTTAATTATTTATATGGAAATTAGCATTGAGAACCATCAGACAAACAAAAAAACCTTCTTTAATGATGTATTCTTCATTAAATTGAACACCAATTCTAATTCTCATTTTGTTTGTGCCAATGTTAGTCAGTTTACTTGAAATACCGCTCTCAGGCTTTTATTGAAGCTGCAAGGGGAAATTTGATGATGGAATGTGAGAGGAACAAATACTAATCCAATTGCTGTGCTCAAATATCTTTTATCAAAATGAAGTCAAGCAAGTGAAACATCTTCCATGTCTTTTCTGAAAATCTGTAGACTCCTACATTCCAGATTTGCCTATTAAAATGTATAAAACATTTAAATATAGCTTAGAGTGAATGTATGGGCTAATTTGATATCGGCTGTGCTTATATAAGATTTGGATCAACTGATTGCAAAGTTTTCATTAAACTGTAATTGTTCTGTAAGCATAAAAATTGTGCTTAGGGTAATACATTAAAACTAGTGAATTGCCCATCAAGAATGACGAGGGGAGGGGGCTGGGATGGAGTGCTGCCACCTAACCCCCCCGTGCTGCTGCTGTTCTGCCTTTTGCAGGGACTGGGGTTGGGGAGCCAAGGCCAGCACTGCTGACCTCAGCTCCCCTACCCCCTGTCCGGTCCTCAGAATCATGGCAGTGCTCCCCCATGCTTGGAGGACTCTGATTGGCTGTTTCCAAGTGGGGGCTCCTTCTCCTGCTTTTGCCCCTGCTGCACCGCTCCAGGTGGCTCCCGGTGAAGGCGAGAGGAGCAGAGCAGCGCCAGACTGGCTGCAGTCTCACTGGGAACAGCTCCGCCAGAAGCTGTGTGCTCGCCAGGGTCAGGGCTGGTGGGTGTGGGTGGGAGCCCAGCATGGGCTGATCTAGGTGGGGCTTGGCCCCATGTAGAGTGCTGCAGGTGCAGCTGCAGACTGAGAAAGCTCTGCTGTACACACATCCTACTTCCCCTTCCTTCCCCTCACCCCCAGCTGGCTCTCAGGCAGCCTCCCCTACACACGTACACAAGCCCCCATAATACCCCCCCATCACACCCCCACTCAAAGGGCAGGGCAAGTAGTGAGCGGATCATGCGTGTTCTACTCCTGAACACTGTTCCCTGTCAAGTCAAAGCCCCATAGGGAGTTTTGGTGAGTTGTTGCCGGGGGAAAGCGTGCTGACCCGGTCCAAAACAGCTCATCAAAACTCCCCATGTGGCTCTTGGGCCCAAATAATTGCCCACCCTTGCACTATATACACATGGAAAAGGAAACACTCCCTGCCCAAGAGATATTACAATCCAAATAGACAAGGCAAAGAAGGAATAGAACACAAAAACAGGCTGAATTATATCATGGGAAACATGTTAGTCCCACGATATTTAAGAGTTTTTTTGTTTTAGGTCTTGTCAAGCAAGCTTGATACTATCTTCTATGTGACCATGCTGATTGACATTAACTATATTTTCTATATTATCAACATGTTGTTCTTTCATCTGGAATCTGTGCCAGGCTTATAGTTATGCATATATTCCTATTTCCCTTTTTAAGTACTGTATAAACAGATTTTCTTTCTTCTGCTCCTACTTTCTGTTGGAGATTTGTATGTATGAGAAAAATATGCAGCATCTTAATGTTATATTTGGAAAAAAGTGATTTGGATGAAAGACTGGTATTTCTAAGGGAGCAGAGCGAAGGCAGTTTAGGTGACTTGCTAGACAAGTGCTTAACTTTGCAGTGTCTATATTTCTAAACTTTTTTTTCCTTTAGAAAAAAACCAACAAAATGGTATAAACCCAGGTTTTTATTGATTGTTCCCCACTTAATATTGCATTATTCATAGTTTTGCAGTAAACAAGGACCATTTATTTATAGTGTGAATTAGAATTTGTACCTTGGATTGCAGAAGCAATTCTTGGCCTTTTTAGTTTGTTTTAGGTTTTTTGAATGAAGGAGTAAAAAACTTGAAATGTGATCTCTTTGGAGTAGAAAGCATTGAATGTATTTTGCTTTTCTTTGCAGGCTGGCTTCATCATTTTTCAAAAACTGGAATATATAAATAATGGTGATCAGAAGCTATTCGGTATAAGAAGTGGTAAGTTAACATTAAAAGCTTAAGGAATGTGCTTTCTTAAATTTAATACTAAATTACTTGGCAGGATTTTTAGTAGCATCTCTTTGTGAGTCCAGAAGTGTTTTTTTAGAATTAAACTGTGTGCAGTGAGAGCATTCTATACACATTCTCATATTATCAGTATTGTAGTGTCTGAGTGTTTTTTTTAGAGGTATATAAAGCAGTGTGAGAGTGCAGCCTCATTAATTTGTTTTGTTTGCTTGAGTTGTATGAGGAAGTACTCTGAGTTTCCATTCTCACTTTTGTTTGTTCTGGAAGTCCATTATGGCATCAGATGCTTGAATAAACAGTTTGGCACCTTGTGAGTTGCAGCATATTTATTAGCACCTCATGAACCCAGATGAAGAAAGGCATGCCATAGCTTCTCCCACAGTTTCTTTCTGTATAGGATATCTGACACAGCTGGACTGTTTTCTTAGGAGTTTAATATATCCTAAGGCATATGGCAGAAGAAATTTTGGCTCTGTCCCCGTGGCACACAGCATTTGTTTTTATTGGTATGTGGAGTACTGCTTTTGAGGAAGGAATTTCCCAGCTCATTTCTCTGAGGTAGCATCAGTTCCACTAAGTAAGAGGTCTCATTCTATATTTCTTTAAAAGCTTATTACCCAGTGTTTCCCATATTTATGTCTGTATGTGGTCTGATCTTCAAAAGATCTTATTTTTTTATTGATTTGTTCTGAAATATTAAGTCAAACTAAAAGCCTTGATGTCACCCTTTGAATGTGCCCTTCATAGGAAAAACTGGATTCATATATAGGAAAAGATTTTATTCCATTTCTGTGTAGGCATCAGCATTATTTCTCTTGCAAAAACATGTAGCAGTACTCTTTTTGACTATGAAACTTAATTGTTGTGATCTCTGCTTAGCACAGGGGTTGGCAAAATGTGGGCCTAATTTGGCCTGCCAAGGGATTCTGTCTGGCCCATGGCAGGTCCCTTGGCTCCCCAGGCTCAGGGGGCAGCCCAGGCTATGGTGCATACAGCCAGTCCCACGGCCCCTGGGCATGTGACGAGGCCAGGGTGGCATGGCAGCCGGACTTGGCTTCCTGGAAGCCCCTGTGGTGGCAGCTCACTCTGCTCAGTTTCTGCTGCTTGTGTCTCTGCTGCTGCCAGACCAACCCCACTGCCTCTTCGTAGACACCCTAGCCCATCCACCCCGCACCCACTGTCAGGGGTGTCAGACAGCAGGCAGGGGGGGTCTCCATGAATACTGGCCTGGAACCCCTATGGGCAGGGCACACTTGGCTGGGTAGATGGGATGGGTCCACAAATGGGTGGTGAGTGGTATCTGGGAGCAGGCCAGGATTGTGGAGCAGAGACAGGACAGGGCCGAAGCCTGGGGCAGAACCACGATCTGCTTCCTACATGTCCCTGCCCGCAGAACTGATGGCCATCGCAAGGATGTGCAGGGAACTGATTGTGGCTCTGTCCCGGGCCTGGTCTGGCCCTGCACTGTCATCACCCTGTAATCTTGGCCCTGCCTGCCTGTCCTGCTCCTTCCCTCAGCCCTGTCCTATCCACCCCGCTGAGTGTGCCGTGCCTGTAGGTCTCAGTGGAGACCCTGCCTGCCTGCTCCATCCAGTGCCCCTAGTGGTGGGTGTGGGGCAGACTGTCCCAGGGCTGGATGGGATCAACTGCGCTCCCCTCCCCACCTCCAGCTGTGTCTGGCTGAATCGGCACCCTCCTGCCTGCCTAGCCTGCACCAGTTCACTGAAACTCCTTAAGTGGCCTACCCTGCCTTAGCTGGTATCTCAGTCTTTTTAGCTTATTCAGGATGCAGCAGCATATAAGTCAGTGGAACTACCGGCATGTTTAAAGTTAGATGCAAAATTGTTTTTAGGATTCAATCTAAGAATGTTTCATAGTTTCATAGTAGTTAGGGGTCAGAAGGAACCTGAATAGATCATCTAGTTTACCCCCCCGCCACTGGTTGTAGCACACGCTGGGATCACATGACCCCAGACAGGTGTTCATCCAACCTCTTTTTGAATTTATCCAAGGTAGGAGCGAGGACCACTTCCCTAGGAAGTTGGTTCCAGATCCTAGCTACCCTGACAGTGAAATAGTGCCTCCTAATCTCTAACCTGAACCTATTCTCTAGCAGCTTCTGGCCATTGTTCCTCGTCACCCCAGGTGCTGCTGGGGAGAATAGG